GTCGTATGGGTGAATACAAAGGCAGACTAGGGGCTAACAAGGCTTGCAGGGTATACCCTTTGGTTGGGTGATGATGCATGGATGGGATGGTAACTATGGCAATGAAAGGATGTATGATAGAATGAAGGTAAAACTAATGTTCTCCCATATAAACTATCACACAATTAATAATAAAACATTTATTAAAAACAAAAAAGAAGAAAGGGTCTCTGAAGGGAGAGCTCGGGCCATCTAGGAGGAAGTTGGACCTGACCCCCAACCTCACCGGAAGACACGTCTACGTTTGGGGCCCACACTTCACACCCCGACGTCATCCCGGCTAAGGGTGGCTCTCTGTGCCCCGCTGACTGCGCCCTCTGGCGCCTGTTTTCCTGCAACCGATCTAGCTCTGTGCAGAAGTCAGTTTGTGGCCATCCTGACTGCAGATCCCCTGAGGCTGGTCACTAAGTGAAACCTGCTTCTGTCTCGTCATCTTGGGCCCTCCTGTAACCGCGGAGGGAGGTATGCCTCGAAGAAGGCGACTGATATCCCGACTCCGTATTCTCTCCCTTCCTTGTGACCCGGTGTCCAGAGACTAACCTGGGGTGGGTACTGCTGGGGGGCGGGGCTAAAGCAGAGAGCAAGCCTGAATACGCAAGGTTTAGTGAAGAAAAAGAAAGGAGGAGCCCACGAGATGTGGGGAGGGAACCATAAAAACCGCGCAGTGACCCCAGGCACCCTAAGTAGATCCTGAAGCTAGAGACTCAGACTTGTAGGCGTGCTCACTGGGTCTACTGGCCCAGGTGAAAAGTAGCTCAAGGCCCAGATAAGGTTGGTGCAGAGAAGGTGTGGGGGAGCTTAGTTCCTGATAAGCATAAGGGAGAGAGCGAGGCAGTTTTGGATGGAACAGAGAAGGTGAATACTTTCCAGAGCAGGCCAGGAGTTTGGGGTCCTGTGGAAGGGGATTACGTGGAGGGGGCTCTACTCATCTGTGTCAAGCTCAGAGCCAGTAGTGCTTCTGGAACTCCATCTTGCTCCAACAGCTCCTCTCTAGTCTCCCTGCTTACTCTTTCGTCTCCACACTGTTCCCAAATGATCCTTTCAAAATGCAAATATAATCACGCCAATCCTAACCCCAGCACTCACTCCTCTCTCTGTACCACTTAGTACCTTACCCACAGCTCTAAGGGTAAAGACCTAAATCTCTGACAAGATGTGCTCTATCCCCGCCCCTATATGCCCTAGTCCCCTCTCCCATCTTGGGCTCTACTCACGCCAGCATTTGAGTGCCTCTCAAAAGGACACTTGTGTATGCTGTTCAGTCTGGTGGCCTTTGCTGAGACAACTCACCTTTTCTCTTCCTGGGACCATTTGGCTAAGTTTACTTTTTTCTAGGCATGCTTATTTTCCCCATTGTAAGCCTAACCTTTCCAATACTGGGTGTGGTGACTTTGGATGGTACATTAGTAAGGCAGAGACCAGATGGTGTCAGCACACACCTGTCTGTAGAGCTCGTTGCTCAAGTGTTCCTGGTACATGGTGAACACTTAGAACAGTTGTTATGAATGAATGAGTAAATTAAGCATCTAATGAAATGGCCAGCGTGGTCCTATAGGCTAGGAAGTGGTGAGGTTTTAGGACACGACTTCCAAACTTTTTCTATGCCAGAGGAACACAGCATCTGAGAAGAAAAAGGACCCCTTTTTTTGGCATTACAAAGAACGCCAATAATATTGAAATACAACTATTAAAACAGACAACGTGCATTTATGATATGGAAATACCTGTGATTCTTTATTAACATATTAAATTGTAAGGTCTAGAGCTAGGACTAATATGTACCAGAAATATGAAGTCCTTCTGTTTCTGCAGCCCGATTCATAACCACTATGCTACCAGAGCTCCTTACAGGACTCCATTAGGGCTATTTCATTCTGCCCTATAGCATCACTAAGGAGCTGCTAACCTCAAGGTCAGCAGTTAGAAACTACCAGCTATTCAACGGGAGAAAGATGATGCTTTCTGCTCCCGTAAAGATTTGCAGCCTCGGAAACCCTGTACAGGGTCGCTGTGAGTCGGAACCGACTCCACGGCACACAACAACAACAACAACAATGTAGCATCACTGAATAACAATCAACTGTACTGCAGTGGGTTTTGTTGTTTTGCAACAATTGTATTGCAATATGAAAATACCTGTGATTTGCGTGGGTGACAGTCCCAGGTACTGCTAAGAGTACTTGTTTTTTTCCTCATCTCAGTTCATGAACCGCCTGGATTCTGGGTCCCTGAATCAGCCCTGTGGAGAAGGATGGAGCTGTCCCAGTAAATCTCCCAGATGGCAAAGTGGGCTAAAGGCTGGCAAGTAATCCCAGCACAAAAGGGCATTTTCACTGAGTGGGAAACCAGAAGAAGAAAGAAAGGCCCATGACCTGTGATTAGAGAGAAAGCAAGACTCTTCTGTGCTCATTTGGCTCTGTGTGGGCACTACAGTCATGGAGCTGAATCCTTGGGTGAGGGGGTGCCCTAACCTAGCAGTAGGGTGACAGGCAGAGTTCACCTGCCTGGAAGTATCCCAGAGGGAGTTTGGGTTGCAGGCTGGCTCTGATAAATTAATTATTGCAAGAGCACAGAGAGCAGTGGAAAATGGGAAGGGAGCCAGGCAGCCACTGCCCCCCATTTAAAAAGGGAGAAAGTTAGCGCTGACAGGCTACAGTGAGAGTTAGGTCACAGGGTTCTCAGTACTTGGACATCAGGGCCTGGGCCCAGGAAAGCCCTTGGTAACAGCAGGCATTGAGTGAATGAATCCATGCAGGAACTAATGTATGAACAACACTAGGCCATCTTTTGCTGCCATTTCACAATAGCAGATTGTGGGTAAGCTCACCCCTCAGGTGTCTGCTCTCTTTCTCCACATCCACCCCTCTTCTGTGGTAGCACCCTGGCTTCCCTATGAAAGGGTACAATCCTGGATATTCAGTTATGATGCTGGTCCATTTTCAGCCAAGTGTGTTCCCCCTACAGGAACAAAGGCCCCTCTTGGAACTCTGATCCTGCAGGCAGTCCTGGTGGAATGGCAGTGTGACAGGAGGGAGATCTAGAAAGACTGCCCTCAATCTCTCTACTCCCTGTATCCCTAAGGCTGCTCAATCTTCCTGATGAAAATCGCAGTCATTGGTTTCTGGTCCATGGCCACTTACAGGCCACTCATCTTTAGCCCTCTTGCTCCCACACTCTCCCCAAAATTCCAGATCTCACTTTCCAAAGTCACAGCTACTGTCCCCCCACCATCCTAACCCTGGACAATCTCATCTCTGACAGAGGCCCTGCACTCCCCATTCATCTGGGAGGAAGCCCATTTCCCTCCTGTGCCTCCCTTCCAGTTCACAGTGTGTTGAGGGAGGGAGAACTCACCAATAGACCTTCTCCTGGTGTTCTGCAGATCCACCAGAAAAGCTGTATTATTGCTTGTTTAATAATTTTCCCTAAATAAGATCACTTTTAAACCTAAATGCTTACTTTAAAATAAAAACAACAACAACAACAAACATTTATATCACAGCCTAAATGAAAAACCATTATTTTTTTTTTGCCACAAATAGAAGAAGTTCCTTGTGAAAGAAACCACAGGCAGACAAAATAAGACAGTTTCCTCCCAAAGGCTCCAAACTAGGCCGTCTCTTGTTCAAAAGTTTATTAGCAAGTAGATCCGTGTCCTTGTGATCAGGCCTGCAAGAGAACCCAGGAGTCCTTTTCTTACTCAGAAGTACTCTGTCATTTAACATGGAGTTCCAGCTACTGCCCTACCTAGCCTCCCCTGCTTCAAACCCCATTGGCTTCCGGCTTCCTGGAGCCCTAGAGGTCCCACCAGCCAGTTCAGGGAAGTGGTAAAGAGCGCTCCCAAACGCCTGTCCAGAATCTGAGGAGGACCAACCCCGTTGTTATTTGTACTTTTCGTGGCCCCACATAGGACTGGGAAAGCCTGCAATTAGTTCAGTAATAAAAGTGTTAGCACCCTGCAATAAAGGTCAGGAGGCCGCTGGACCGTTAGGAGTCAAGACCCAGTCAGACCCTCGCGACCCTGGCTGATTCACAAAACTGCCCTTGGTTTGTCTCCCACCCACGCCGCGCCTGTCTGCGAGAAGCGAGCTCATTCTGGGCTGGTCACTGTGCTGGATACCCACATACCTTGGCTATTTCATTTCAGAAAATGGTCCATTGTCCCCATTTTACAGCTCACGTGTGCCTCCCCCAGGCTCCCCTTTACTGCTTTATTAGCGGACTTTACAAGGGACGGGAAGAGCCCTTGTGCGTCGGTGGAGGCTGCTGCTATCCCGCAGGACACCCAGCTGGAGGCAGGCCAGCTCCAGCCATACCTTTCCCTCCAATCGCCTAGACCTCAAGGTCCTGGAGAAAACCAAAGAGTCAGGGCCTGGGGTTCCTTATTGAACTATTACTGAGTAGGCGCTTAGGGGTCCTGCCGCGCCGCTTCCACCTCGCGCTTCCCCCGCCCCAGCCGACTTCACAAGCGAAAGCCTCAGCTTCGTTCTACCTGAGGCGGGAGCTCAAGGCGGCTCGACGCCCGGGATACACGCGCCCACAAGGGTGCCGCTATCGCTGGCCAGGCAGGCTGGATCCCCGGCGCTGGCCCCTCACCCGCCCCCTCGCGGTGATCGTGGAGGCGGCGGCGGGTGTTGCGGCTCCTTTAAATCCGGGCCGCCCCGCCCTTAGCTGCCGACTCCGCGGCGGCCCTAGATCCAGGCCGGGCCGCGGCTCTCGCCGCCCAAGCCAGCCTAACCCGGCCCGGTCCTGTTGCTGAGCAAGGCAGCCCGCGTTCCGCTTCCCGGAGGAGCAATCGGCGCTGCCCCCGGCCCGGTGCACATTCCGGCCC